TTGAGAAATGATGTACAAATGCGCTTTACACAATTGATGTGTGTATGGATTGGGATAACAGTTGTATGAGCCCCAAATAAAATGATTTTTTTAAAAGAAAAAAAAAATTATCAAGGGCTCATGAGGGAGTGGGGAGCAGGAAGGGAGGGGGTAATGAGGACATAATGCTGGGGGCTTAAGTGGAGAGGAAATGTTTTGAGAATGATGAGGGCAATGAATGTACAAATACGCTTATTACAATTGATGTATGTATGGATTGTGATAAGAGTTGTATGAGCCTAATAAAATTATTTTAAAAAGAAGAAGCACACATGATCCACCATGGTGACCTTTTTACAAGAATCTAGCCCCGGGGTGAAGAGCACCAACTATGGAGATGGACCACCTGAGTTCGAATTCCAGCTCTGGCCCTTATTAACTATATGTGCTTTGCGGCAAACTGCTTAACCTCTCTGTGCCTTTGTTTCTTTAAAATATCTGAAAGGAGATGCTTCCCTCATTACTCCTACTTCATTCTAATATTCAACTAGTTTGTTTCCTGATGAACTTTAAATTAATTAGACCTCCTCCTCAGTTATCAATGATCTCATTAGTTGACATTTCACATTTCTGAAAATAGTGGGAAAAAACTATTATCCACTATTTTGCATATTAATGACATACATCTGTCAGTGACACACGGCCAAGGGTGAGGGGTGAGCAGCGCCGGCTGTGATGGTTAAGCATATGTGCCACCTCGGCTGGATCATGATCCTTAGTGATTTGGCAGTTATGTGAAGCTGTAATTGGGCAGCTATAGAATTCTAAAATTTGAAAGTGATGATATACTCACCCTGCATCTTGTGACCCGATGAGGTCATCGTCCATCTGCACAACATGACGTGGTTTTTGGAATCTAGCCGGGTCACTAAGTGAGGAATGGAAGTAACACCCCTAACTGGAACAGAGCTACTTTGGGAGAATAAGGACACCGGACATTGATTCATTGTGTGAAGAAAGCTAAATCTCTCCTCCCATTGTAAGGAGCTAATCAAGACTGTCTGTCATTGAGGGCGGGGTGGGCAGCAGAAGAAACATGTTATTTAGGAATATGGAGGCAAATGCTAGGGGAAAAATAGCAAAAAGAGTTACAAAATGGATTTTTTCTCTGGGTCTCCATTCCCCGGGCGAGGATCAGGAAAGCGGGGAGTTAGTGGACTCCCTGCATTTGACCCACAGGGAGGAGAACAAGAGAGATGCACACACAGTAACACGGGTGGAGTTTTTACATAGTTTTTAAAATAAGGTAGGTACATCCAAAAACTCTACATATGCTCCAAGTATTCATCGAGATGGAATGTGAATAGTAAGCGCATTGCAGCCGTTTTCTTTGGGGAGCAGGAAAATGAGATGAAAGGAGACAGCTGAATGACACGGGCGGGTCGCGATGATGGTGACAGTGTACGTATACTCTAACGGGTAGGGTTCACTCGGCACCCTGTCCCTAAGGTAGGCGACAGCAACAGGAGAGAGTCAGCGGAACCTGGGAACGTAGAACTCTGGCCGAGGACAGCCGGATTGGGTTTTGTTTCTCAGTAAGTTTGATAGTTTGGCAGTTTGGCTTGAATCGTGTATATTTGATCAAAAGTAAAAAAAATAAAGAAAGTCGCTGGAAGAAGAAATATCTGTTATTTAAAGAGCTGAAGATAATTAATAGTGACTGAAAATAACAATGGCATGATCGAGTGGTGAAGGAAAGACGAGGAGAGGGAGGGAGGTGGGGTTGAGGAGGAGTGGTCATAAAAAAGAGTAAGTGATACCGTGTGTGAAGCTGATAACAGGAGCAGTATTTAGATACATAAATTTACCACTGCAAGAACTAGATGACTGAACTGGTTAAAAGAAGTTGCCTCTGAGGGCTGGAGTGGGGGTGCGGGGAGGGCAAAGAAGAGCTGATACCCAGGGCTCAAATAGAAAGAAAATCTTTTGAAAATGATAATGGTAACCTATGTACAAATGTGTTTGATACAACTGATGTATGGATTGCTAAAAGAGCTGTAAGAGCCCCCAGTAGAATGCTTTATAAAGAGATAATAAATAAAAGTAAAAGCAGCAGGAAAGAAGAAGAAGTTGCCTCCAGGAGTATATAAAAATGTATGGTGAGCGTATCAGAGTCCTTCTCACAGCGGGAAAGAGCGAGGACCATGATCAGCATCAGCAACCCATGCTCCCCGTGAGGCTGAGCTCAGACACCCTGCCTTGGAACTTTGGGCCAGTCCTGACACCCACTGTCCTCCTCTGGTACTCTCTCCTTCTCTGCTAGGTTTGATCATTTGTTGCAATGCCACAAAGAATTCACAGATAATACTCATGATTATAGGATTTTTTTTTAACTGACTGCCATCGAGTCAATTCTGACTGGTTCCCAACATAGAAGGCAGGGTAAAACCGCCACTGTGGGTTTCTGAGACTAATTCTTTATGGGAGTAGAAACTCTCTTGGAGCAGCTAATGGTTTTGAACCGCTGACCTTGCAGTCAGCAGCCCAAAGCATAACCACTAAAACCACACTTCCATGAACACAACACCAACTCATAATGATTTTATAAAGGGTGTCGGGGGTTGTAAATCTACGGAAACAGACAGCCTGATCATTCCCCTCTGGTGGGTTTGAACTGCTGACCTTGTAACTAGTCCAACAGTACCACCAGGGCTCCTTGTTAGGGAACTAACAGGTTACAATTCAGAATCAGGAACAGCTCCGTGGAGTGCACAGCCGGGAGTGCACGCAGGCTGGCTTCTCTCTGGCCCGGGGCCTCTCGACCCTCTCATCCTCAGGCACCTTGAACTAGTCAGCCTCGGCTCTGCTCTGGCAAGTGTTACAAGTTCTTCAGCCCCACCCATTGTTTTCATTTTGTTAGGTGCCCTCGAGTCAGTTCCGACCCATAGCAACTCTATGCACCACAGAACGAAACACTGCCTGGCCCTGCGCCACCCCCACGACTGTCCCTGTGCTTGGGTCCACTGCTGCAGCCACCGTGTCACTGTGCCATCATCCATCTCCACAAGGGCCTTCTTTTTCACTGCCCCCCTACTTTACCGAGCATGAGGTCCCTCTCCAGGAACCGGTCTGTCTTAATCACATGTCCAAATTATGTACCCAGAAGCAACCCACTTCCCTAGGAAGCCTTTGCCTAAACATGTTCATCTCTCTGGCCCCATCAGCAGGCGAGCCTCGCTCCACCGACAACTGCCCAGAGACATCTCACTCCTCCGGCAAGCCTCTTGCCCAAAGGTGTCCAGCCTTGTCACGCCATGGGCCCAGAAGCCCCCCAACGATCTCTCGCTTGACTGCTGGTTCTGCTTTCTCTCTAGCACGCGCTCACTTTCTCTCTCTCCCCTGCATGTAGGAGGTTCCAGCCAGGTCCAAGGACACGTCCCACTCATAGCTCCCCTTTCTTAGTGACAGTGAGGTCCCTGCTGCCTGCCTCTGGGATGGCTCATGTTAAGTCTTCTAGTGGCACAGTGGTTAGGAGTTGGGCTGTGAACTGCAAGGTCAGCGGTTCAAAACCACCAGCCACTCCAAAGGAGAAAGAAGGGGCTTTCTACCTTCAAAAACAGGGACCGTCTTGGAAACTCACTGTCTAAGGGCAGTTCTACCCTGTCATACAGGGTCACTTATGAGTCGGCATCGACTACAGCAGTGGGTTTGGGGGTTTGGGTTGGAGATTGGGAAACTGGCCAGACTCCTTTGGGGGCTGCATTTGCATCGTTTCTCAGAGTCCTTTGATGGGGGGAGTTCCAAGACGACTGTGAGAAAGGCCCTTTAAAATCAGTCCATCGCACCCCAGGGTGGAGCCGAGGATAAGTTGTAATGAGTAGGGAAATGGTGCTTTTCCTCATAAACTCTTCTAGACCACTTGAGTACATAATCTCTTTTAAAATTTAATTATTTGAAAAAATGACTTTTAAAAAGGTATATGATCCATTCCATGATCTTTTCATTCCATTTTCCCATGAACTTTTTGAAGCCCCCTCGCATATTAGTACGTTACTACTAATACTGTCTATGGATCATAAACATGATTTTTTTTAAACTGTTAGCATTTATCAATTGTCTACTCCCCTAAGCACTTCACAGATATTACTCCTATTAATCCTCATAATAGCAGCTTGTGGTAGATAAGATGTAAAGACTGAAGCTCAAAAGATGAATTAATGGGCCCACATTTGCCCAATTAAAATGTGACAGAGACAGGATATGGAGTCAGGGGGTCTGCATCTTGCAGCCCACAGCCTAACCACAATGCCACTTTAGTAACAATGTAGCCCACCCTCTAATTCAGCACAAGTCAAGGTTGTCTCCCTGAGCTCTGAGGGTGGATTAGGTCCCTGAATTCAATGTTGTCACAGCACTAGGACTTCTCTCTCAGGTCACTTTATAAACCTGTAATTGTTGATGTAGCTATAATTATTTGTTTAAGGTCTGTCTTCCCCACTAGATTGTACACCATGACGGCAAGGACCAGGCCTACCTTGCTCAGTACTAAATTGTTAGGATCTAACATGGCATCTGGCACATATTGACGTTAGCTGCCTTCGAACCAGACCCGGACTCGTCGCAACCCCCAGGTACAAAGGAACCCTTCATTATGATCCATAGGGTTTCAGGGCCCAATTTCAGAAATAGATTGCCAGGCACTTCTTGCTAGTCATCTAGAAATGCAGCATCACAGCAACGCAAGCATGGGCAGTAGCTGACCTTGAGAAGCTCAGGCCCGGACTGAGCCCAGGTCTCCTGCAGGGAAGGGGAGAACTCACCACTGAGCACCACTGCCCTCATCTGGAACACAAGAACCACTGCCATGGTGCTCATTCCAACACATAGTCTCTCTCTCTCTATATATATATATATATATATTTTTTTTTTTTCTCCCCTGGCACTATAAATCTTTACCAGAGCAGATAGCCTCATCTTTCTCCCATGGAGAGACTAGTGGGTTTGAACCATCGACCTTGTGTTCAACTGTCTACTGCTTATCACACAGTGCCACCAGGGCTCCTTCATCTGGTGAATAGCAGGTACTGAATAAACATCCAGGTGACAGGGAATAATAGAGGGTGGGAGGGAAGGCGGGAGGGGAAAATAACAGAACCACATTTATAGGGGGCTTAAAGGGGCATGATTACTGGTTCCATTTCTTGAGATGAGCCGTGCAAATATACAGAAAATGTTTCTTTAAAAACCAAAATAAAAACAAGTGTGAAGGCCCACTGCCTTAAAAACCCTCCAGATTTCTTACCTCTTGATCTAAATAATGGTCTGAGTAGCTAAAAAATTTTTAAAAAAGCAGAAAAGTAAAACGAAGGTGAACTCGCATCTTCCATGGCACACAAGTTCATGTCGAACATAGGGAGGTCAATCAGTAGGCCCATAGATGGGTGGATGGATAATTGTGCCCTGCCAGATCAGACCCTGTTTCCTTAAGGTAGATTTATATGGAGTCAGAGTATGAGTGACTGCCAGGTGCATTGATGGGGGCCATGGGTGACAGCAGAATTTCTGCTCCTTCACAATATGAAACACGATACCACAGATGTTGGAAAATGCTTCTCTGAAATCTATGAAGTGAATCTTTTCTGCTCAATGTCTTCATTAGCCTTTTACAGCTCTTCTTTTGTTAATAGTTTCTATCCTTTGCCCACATTTAAAAATTAATCAGTATTTTAAGTTTTTAACAAACTGCTCTGTCCCACTTCTAAGCGATTGACAATAATTTATATGTTTAACTATAATTCTGGAGACTTGGAATTAGGAGTCCTATGCAGAAAGACAGGAAGTGTTTACCTGGAAGATTTTCAGGGCTTTTATTAGTCCTCCAACGTCGTTCTTTAAGGAAAAAATGAGCGTCGCTCTTCCCCTTTCCAGGGAATGCTCTCTGCTCTCCTTATTGTCTTCAATCATGATGAACCGGCGTGCTTCTCGAAAACTAAGTGTGAAACGAGGACAAGGGGCTAAATCAGCTGTGACTATAGCTGATCCTTAACTTCTTCTGCCCTCGGTTTCCTCACCTGTAAAACACAGAGATGCAAATAGGCTGTGTAAAATTGTTATGAGCCCCAAGTAAGAGAAAATGCTGCCCAGCATCGGACCCAGAATGTAACAGACACACCTACGCAGAGTTCTCTTCTCTTCCTTCTAACCCAAGCTTGTGTTCGGGGCACGATGCAAGACAACTGGCTTCAGGCAGGCTTCCCCGCCTCCTGTGCCCTGGAAGGTCTACTCCTCCACACCCAGCGTTAGCACTGGCTCATCCCAGGCCCGAAGTGCTCCCCGAATGTTCTCTTCATACATGCCTGATCCTTTACCCAGGCACACTCTCCTTGAGAACAAGAGTAGGCCTTTTATTTCTCTAGGAGCTCGACATCAGCCAGCTCTTGTCGACTCAAAGGATAACTGCTAGCCAGTCTATATTTTCTTCTTAAATCAGCACTCTGAGAGGCCAGGGTCCGCTGTACTTTCTTCTTGAGAAAGGCAGGGAGCCCTCAGACTTCAGAGGTACTATGCCCAGCGCAGCCATTGGCATCGGGGAGAAATACCAAGGAGGAGGCTGAGAGGCCAATGGCGTAAAAAGAATTCATCTGATCTAGGTGGCACGAAGCACTAACCAACGAGGTCTCTGAAAACCACGGCTGCTGTCTGAAGACAGGCAGTGCAGAGAGGCCAACGCTTCAGAAGGGCAGGACTGAGGGTGAAGGTGAAGAGAAACACCAGGGAACACACTGCCCTTGGGAAACCATCGTCGTCGGAAAGCACAGCACTGGAATGGGATGACAAGAAGGCACATCCCTATCTGACTATGATCGAATAGAATCATAACACGGGTCCACATCTGGTGATAAACCTCCTCCACCCCAGAGGACCGTTTTACTGAAACATTTATGGTTACTCTAAGTTGTGCTCACATCAACTTTTTGATTCCATACGTAAAATCCAACTTTCTTTGAGAATTAGCTGGCAAGCACACACTTTTACTGGGTTAGAAACTTCAACTCTAGTCTTCCTCACCCCAAGCCAATTAGAGTACATCGGTAGCCTTTAGACTTCTGAAAAACAAACGCTCAGAGTCAAGGTCAAGCTTACCTGTCGCATCCACTGGGTCAGATCTGCTAGGATCTGGGCCTCTGTGCAATTGTAACTTTGCCCTCGAGCTCTTAAGGAGCCTTGGTGGCACAGGGGTTAACCAAATGTGCCTTGGTGGCACAGGGGTTAACCAAATGGCACCCACCAGCCTCCACGGGAGAAAGATGTGGCAGTCTGCTTTGTAAACTCGTCTACTCCTCCCTCTGGGCTTGTTAGGACTTAAAGTCCCTAGAAAGCAATGGGACTCAAGCTCTTCGTCCCTGGGTTGGGGCAGAAGTGATAGGGCTGGGTGTGATACTGCAAGCTCTTGCATGAGCCTCCCCCCTTTTTCCGGGTGTGTGGGTGTCTAAGGAAGGGGTTCCATCTATCTGTAGGAGGACAGGGAAAGAAAGATGTTGCTCTTCAACCCAGAGGAAGGGAAGGAAGAACATGCCTATTTCTGCTAACACAGAGGAGTCGCAGGTTCAACTCCAAACTCTAGTTTCTTCATCTGCATAAAGCAAGAAACCGACCTTACAGGATTTGTCCTAAAGGTCCAGTCGGTGGACCTTTAAAGTGCCCTTTAAAAAAAAAAAAGTTTTTTTCTCCCCCAAAATGGGAAAGAGCAAAGATATGGGTTCAAATCACAACTCCCAGACCGGGCTTCCTGCAAGCATCTACCTCCTAGGGGAGGATGCCCCCGCTCCTGCCCCCGCCCCCGCCCGGGCCAGCCCAGCCCTGCCCAGCGCCCTCAACTCCGCGGCAGCGGCCCCTGGTCCCCGGGAGAAGGGGCCACCCCACTCACCCTGGCGCAGCTGGCAGTCAGCGAGCGGTCCCGCGGGGCACGCTTCTTATAGAAGCGGGTTGTGGAGCGGGCCACCCAGAGTCAGCCGGGCAGTGGCCAATGAGACTGCAGGCCCGACTGGAGCGGTTGGCTTTCGCCTCTGCCGGCTGCGGCCCCGCCCCCGACAGCCTGAGCCCTGAGCTTTACCCTCCCAGGTGGGTCTGGCTGGTGCTTTTAAATAAGCTAACGTAGGGCCATCCTTAGCTAAGTAAGTCTGACTCGTACTAAACAGAGGTGCACTGTCTCGCTTTTGCTAACACATGGGAGTCACCAAGATCGTGTCTATTACTGTCATGATCTCTTGTAGGCAAGGACGGCCTCTGCTGCCTAAGGTCACCTCGATTGAGAGAAAAGTCAGGATGTTCTCGAAGCCCATCTGAACATAAGCAGGCCTCCATGACCGTGGGAGATGCCAGACATCTGACAGAGTCCAAAGAAGACCCTGACCTTTCCAAACATCTTCGGCATTGTGGTTGGCATTCCTCCAAGCGAAGAATGTTCACATATTGGGGGACGGCCCAAGGGAAGGGGCCATTCCTTGGATAAACCTTATTTGCCTAGTAAAAGTGTTTAATTAGTTCCTAGTCGTAAACGGATAACAGTTTAATGAAGGAGGAGGCGGTGACGAGAGGCAGTGGCGTGGACACACAGAACATTTTCCTGGAAGTGATAGAAAAATCAAAGTAAGTCGTTTGAAGAAAAGAGGTCAGTCCTTAGGAAGTTTCCTTTTGCTGTTGTAACAAATTACCATGAGTTTAATGTATTAGAAAAACAACAACACAAATTGATGACCTCACAATTCCTGAGGTCATTTGTTTACTGGTCTAAAATCAAGGTGCAGTGGGAATGCAGTTCTCTTTCTGGAAGCGTGAGGGGAGGATTCCGCCCTATGCCTTTCCAGCTTCCAGCAGCTGCCTGCAATCCTGGTCTCATGACCCTTTCCTCCATCTCCAAAGCAGGCTATGTAGCATTTTTAAACTTCTCCGGGCCCCCTGCTTCCTTCTTTCGCTTATAAGGACCCCAGTCATTACACCGGGATGAATAAGGAAGACCAAAGAAGATGGATACATTTGAATTGTGGAGCTGGAGCAGACCAGTGGAAGTACCGTGGACTGCTAAAAGGGCACACTGATCTGTCTTGGAAGAAGTAAGGCAAGGAGGGCAAGACTTCATCTTCCACCCTTTGGACATGTTGTCAGGAGAAACCAGTCCTTGGAAAAGGGGCAGCGGAAAAGAAAGCCCTGGAGGAGACAGGTGGCTACAACAATGGGCTCAAATGTAGGAGCGATGGTGAGGATGGCGCAGGATTGGGCATGGTTTTGTTCTACTGTGCATAAAGTCGCTGTGGTCAGATCTGAACTGATGGCACATAATAACAGCGACAATTACATTGGACATTCTTGGGGAGTCAGTATAATATCCCCGTCTCAGAACCAGAGATGTCCTAAAATGGTCTGAACGTGTTACCATGTGGATGGATCTCAAAGACGTTCGGCACCAGACATACGTACAAGGTGACATCCGTGTGATCTCATGGGTATGGCATATTCGGAGTAGGTCAATGCATAGAAATGGAGGGCAGAGTAGTGGCCTATGTCCGCTTCCTTTCTTTTCTTTCTGTCATTGTGTCTCCATTAGCCAGTCTAGTGCCTGGCACAGCAAATCTGTTTTTGAATTATCATGACATAAAAGTTAATAAAGACATATACAAATATGTGTATATGTGTGTGTATGCATTCATGCTGGGATTTCTGTAGAAACTGATTTTCTGATGTGGAATATTGACAAATTGCCTTCCAAATAACACCAATTACATCCCTCTCCAAAGGAACAGAACACAGTGTCCTCCTCCTTACTAACCAAAAACCCAAACCAAATCTGCCGCTACCGAGCCGATTCAAATCTTAGCGACCCTACATAGGGTTTTTGAAACTGCACATATTTTCAGGGACAGACAGCCTCGTCTTTCTCCTATGGAGTGCCTGGTGAGTTCGAACCACTGACTTTGTGATGAGTAGCTCAATGCTACCAGGGTTCCTTGTCTGATCAGTGGGTGTTATCAGTTAAACCTGTGAGCACCAGAACCTGTGTAAGGCAGAAACTCACAGAGGGAAAATTCAAATATTCTCCCCTAATACAAGTGATAGAAGAGTGGTAAGACTTCACCACTTCCACAAAGGCAGAAAACATGCCAGTCAGAGAAGCAAGACAGATCTGATGCGTTCCACCTCTCACACGTCGTCACACCGCGTCTTATTATTCAGTTAGCATTTCCGCGAGCAGAGCTGAGCATCTTCTTATGTGTTCGTTCACCTGTGAATTTCAAACATCACTGTTCATTTTTCAATCTTTGTTCCCTCATTTAGAAAGTAGGCCCTTTCTAAATAACATCATGAATATTAACTCCACATGTTCCATGCATTGCTGTCATGCAAGCCTTTCGATTGTCTTCAGTTACATTGAGGAATTCTTCGACAGCTTTCTTCTGTTTGTTTTCACAAAGCCAATCCATCTTTGCTCATGAAGTTTAAGAGGTGAAAAAGCATACCGTCCTTCTTCCTCCTCTCTCTAAACCAGTCAGATGGAGATTGGTTTGCAGGGGAGGTACCAAAGTGGAAGCTGAGACTGGTTGAAACGTTGTAGGAGTCCAGGTGAGAGAGGATGGTGGATGGTGGACAAATCGAAGAGAAATAGCATCATGTTCATCATCAAAAATAATACTTCAAGATCGATCTTGAGGTATAATGCTGTCAGTGATAGGATCTTCTCCAAATGTCTACAAGAAAGACCAGTTAATGTGACTATTATTCAAACTTACACACCATCCATTCATGCCAAAGATTGAAGAGATTGACATTTCTTACCAACTTTTGCAGTGTGAAATGGATCAACCATGTAGACAAGATTTATTGAATTATTTGGGATTGGAATTTAAAAGTTGGGAACAAAGAGAGAGGAACAGTATTTCAAAAATATGGCCTTGGTGACAGAAAAGAACCTGGGGATCATGGGAAAGAGCTTTGCAGGATCAAAGATTTAAGTCATTGCAAATATCTTTTCTCAGCAATGTAAAAGGCA